GTACTATGATTGGATATTAGTGATACGTGATGGACTGTGAATTATTATAGATTAATTGAGATCTAAACATTGATTTTAAATTCTATATACTATATATTATTCTATATACAAAATCCACATTTTTAGGATTCCGTAGCCAAATGGCAAAAAACGGAACCCTATATACATAGATTCGTCATGTCTGTCTGTCTGTCCGTCCGTATGTCACAGCCACTTTTTTCCGAAACTATAACAACTATACTGTTGAAAATTAGTAAGTAGATGTATTCTGTGACCCGCATTACGATTTTCACACAAAAAAAAAAAAAAAAAAAAACAATTAATTTTGGGGGTTCCCCATACTTAGAACTGAAACTAAAAACTTTTATCAAACCCATACGTGTTACCCATACAAAACTATCTTTAGATAGGTTTTCAAAAATGATATTTAGGTTTCTGAATGTTTGCTGAATAGTTTGCACGAGAGACACTTCCAAAGTGGTAAAATCGTTGTGTCCCCCCCCCCCCCCCCCCCCCCGGTAACTTCTAAAATAAGAGAATGAAAAAACTAAAAAAAAAATATGATATACATTATCATGCAAACTCCCACCGAAAATTGGTTTGAACGAGATCTGGTAAGTAGTTTTTTTTTAAAACGTCATAAATCGTAAACCGCAATTTACATTTCATTCAATCAACTTAAATATAAAAAAAAAACATTTAATTTCAGAAACATAAACCTTATGCATAAACCGTGGACCATTATTTTCTAATAATAAATCTGTAATAGGTGCCTGTGCCTGTGCCTGTCCGTGTGGTGACGGATTAAGAATACGGAGTGTCGTCACCCCTATTCATCCCGTGGGTGTCGTAAGAGGCGACTAAGGGAGCAAACTACGCAGGACAACAGCACTGCAAAGAGAAGGAAAACTTGACATAAACCCTATACCAACCCGTCTGGCCAGCGTGGCATAGTAGGCCAAAACCTCCTCTCTAAGGAGAGGCCTATGTCCAGCAGTGGACTCCAACCTTCCCATGGCCCTACCAACCTCTCGGTTATAACGGGCCGAAGCACGGGAGGGACACGCGCTACTTGCTCGGGGCTCTTTCACGCGTGTCCTTTCTTGACATAAAGACATATTGTTTATCTCTATGTCCGTCCCTATATCTTTGGACACTCTCCCCTTTCTGGGGCTTGACGTTACATAACGGCGACTTCGTGTTCGCGCTCTATAGCCGCCGTTATCATCGCTCCAATCTGCTCCTAATGTAGTGCCACCCGTGCGCGAAGTCCCGTAGCTGCTTGAAGTTCGCCTCAGAGGACACCAGGTCACCGTAGTACACCGGTCCGTCTTCGAGCCTAGTAATCCCATTCAATAACTTACACCTTTGTTCCTCATACAGTGGGCATTCCCACAACACATGATGCATATCCTCTTCTACGCCTAATCCGCAGTAGCACTCGCTGACTTCGGTTAGCTTTAAATCACAGAGCCTTTTACGAAAGCAACCATGTCCGGTTAGGATTTGCGACGTTTCATAATCCGGTTCGACCCAGGTTGCCCCGAGTCTCGCCGCCACGTCCGGGAAGAACCGATACGTTTCCCTCCCCTTCTCTGAGGCGTCCCACCTGGTTTGCCAGGCGTCGACAACGAGGTCCCAATTGCGATGTTTCTCCGCCGCTAGCTCCACCTTGGTCGCGTGCTGTGTGCGCGCTACGCCTAGTCTGCCAGCACGGATTACCTCGAGGTCGGCCGGAAGTACGCCGGCCAATACCGGGAGGGCAGAACTGCTCGTCGTTCGGTACGCCTTGGTCAGAAGGACCAAGGCCGGTCTCTGGGTGCGCAGAAGCGCGCTACGCACAACGTGTAGGGACGCACGCTCGTACCAGCATACGGCAGCGTACGTCACCGTAGCGACGTACGTACCCTGGTACAGTACCCGTAGTACCCTATGCCTAACCCCCCATGAGCTCGCCGACACTCTCGACATCTTGCCGAAGCAATTTGCCGCCCGTTCCCCAATGGATGCTGCGTGCTGAGCAAACGACAGGCTCGCGTCGATTACCACCCCCAAGACTGTGGTTGACGTGACGCTCCTGATCGATTCGCTGCCGAACCTAATGGTGGGGGGACGCTGTAGTTTCCCCCTCAGAGTCATCGTAGACGACTTCGAGGAGGAAAATCCCAGCCGATTTCTGGTCCCCCACTCACCGACGAGTTGTAAAACGGTAGAGGCCGTCGCCTCTACTCTCGCCCGGGAATCCGCCTCAACCAGGATCGTCACGTCATCGGCGTACGCCACAATCTCCACCCCCCCAGGGAGCGGCAACCGAAGCAAGTCATCCATCAGGACGTTCCAGAGCGTGGGTCCCAACACCGATCCCTGCGGGCAACCCATAGTTGCCGTCTTCCACTCGACATGATTGCCAACGAACAAGCCAACGCGCCTGTCGACGTAGTAGCCCGTAAGCATCGAGTAGATGTTACGCGGGCAACCCCCCGCTTAGCCTTTGGCAAGATCATGGGCCACCATGCGTTGTCGAAGGCGCCAGAGATATCAAGAAAGACGGCTTGCACGTACCGAGACGAGCTGTTCCTTGCAGTGGAAAGGAGTTGCAAGAGTGCAGACTCCGTCGACCGTCCCCGAGTGAAACCATGCTGGCAGTGCGACAGCCCGCGGCTGATCTGCGGGGCGCACTTTAACATAACGCGCTCTAAAACCTTACCAAGTATGGGTAGCAACGTGATGGGGCGGTACGCTTTCGGGTCAGTAAGGGGCTTGTTGTTGCCCTTCGGCAGTACAAGCAGCCTACCTTCCTTCCAAACGTCCGGAAAAATTCCCTCTTTTATGCACCTAGCAAACACCTCAGTGAAGTCAACGGCCGCAGCACGCCAAACGTGTTTGACGATGAGATGAGATGAGATGCCATCAATTCCCGGAGTAGTATTAGGCAAAGCCCTGACTATACTATCTAGATCTTGTACCGACGGAGAGGGGGCATCCTCGCCTGAGGGCGAGCACGCAGCCGCCAAGCGCACCTGTCGATGATAAACATCGTCCTTGGACAGGTGGTCGTCCAGACACAGGCTATGTATAAGGCTGTGCGCGGCCTCGCGCACGCTCCCAGCATACCCTTCGGCAAACTTTGTCCCACTAACCCATCCCTCCCATTGCGTGGAGGGCGAACCCTACCGCACGCGGCACGGTAAGCAAGACCCTAGGGGTCCTGATTACCGGATTCGGCTATGTCACGAAAAAATTTAAGTTGCGCCCTCTCCATAGCCGCTCTATATTCACTCCTAGCACGATGAAACGCCTCTCTTGCCTCAATTGCCACATCCTCCTTTTGCGCATATTTTCAACCCGATGCCTCTCAACCTCGTTTGTCCACCATTCATAGCCATTGTCTCTCTTACTTTCACGAGATACCCCAAGGGTATCTTTTGCTGTACTTACAATTATACTATTAAACTGCTTACATACCGCGGACGCCGGCGTGCTCCATTTAATCCAGCCCATACGCTCGTGGATTTTCGATTCAAAGAGTTCCCAGTTTGCACGGCGGTCCCGGAACCTAATCGGCAGCCCCCCCTGCAGCTCAGCGCGTGGAGCAAATGAGCCTGAGCTCGCCACACTGAAGGTAATTAGCCGATGGTCGCTAGAACTGGCTCCGATATGAACTCTCCAGTCCAATATGTGCACGCCCCTGGTGTGTAGCGTTAGGTCGATGTTGGACTCCCCGTTGGCGGTGCTGAATGTGTAAGGTTCTCCAGCGATATTAGCAATTTTGAGGTTGCGTGCTAATATAAAGGCCTCCATGGCCTCCTTACGGTGAGTAACGTCAGGGCCTCTACCCCTGTATTGCCGTGTCTCGGAAAACCACATTGGGGAGTGGGCGTTAGTGTCTACACATATTATTACCTTCTTACCGCGTAGGTGGTCTAAGACCCGCCCCAGCTGGGCCAGGTGAAGGTCTATGTCATCGCTGTACCTGAAGTAGGAGGAGACAACATAAATGTCGTGCCCCCCCACATCCAGGCAGCAGACCAGACAGTGAGTGTTGGACAGATGGTAAAGGGTAGCACAGGGCAGGTCGAGGCGCGGTAAATATACTCCAGCTTGCGCACGGGTGCCACACTGCAGAATGCTAGTGGCTTCACTTGGGGGCATGGAGAACTGATCCTGTACCAGGACAGTATCCAGCCCCAAGTCCCGCGATAAGGCTGGGAGCTCCCTGGTGGCGAACTCACCCCCCCCCCAGGTTTATCTGACCAATCTTCACCATGGCTCTACAATCCATAGTTAGTAGTGGAGATCAGCCTTCGTTCCGCGTTCTGTTCTGTTGTTCTGTTGTCGCGGGACAGTCCCGAGAAGCCGTTGCGTGTGTATTGGCCGATTGATGGCCAAACTTTGTGCAAGTCGCACAACAGGAGGTTGGCGACTTGCAGTCCTCCATTTTGTGGCCTTCCTTGCCACACTTGCTGCACGTGTGCGTGTTAGCGCGGCACAGCTTCTCCGGGTGACCGTACTGCTGGCACTTGTGACAGCAGGTCACCTCCGCGTAGTCCTCCACTACTACTACCTCCCAGCCGAAGTAGAGCCTTTCCTTGGACACTAGCGCTGTCCGTAGTGAGGGGGAGCATGCCAGCACTACAGTAGTCCGGTTACCACCTCTCCTGGACTTTTTGAAGGCCATCCTGGCTTCCTTCTTAAGCTCCTCTAGTGTCCATGTCGGGTCTTCTTTGAAGTTCTGGTCATGCATAGCTGCAATGACGTCCTCAAATTTCAGATCACCCTCCAAGTTCCTCAGGGCAACCAGGGGCGACCTCGATTTGGCGTCCCTGACTTGCAGGGTCGCCGGCATTGCCGCCTTAATTTTTGTTGCCGCTTCTTGGGTAGCTGTCTTCAGTATCAGCCCCGAGTTGGCGACCCGTCGTAGCCCCACTATTTGGGCTCCCAACTGTCCCGGCTCGACTGATCTTTTCAGCACCATTTTGGTCTGTTCGGCTGACTTGAGGTCACTTCCTTCCGCCGGGTATATTGCCAGGGTGGCAGCAGGAGGGGGGGGGGATCCTTAGAGGTGCTGCTTTCGGAGCCCGTTTCAGAGCCCTCGCGTAATTTACAGTCTGCCAACAGTCGCTGGTAGCCCCGATCGTGGCAGAAGCTGCCACTGCTGCCAGTTTGGCCCGATCGGCCTCGGCTTCTGCCCTCGAGGCACGTTCGGCCTCTCGTGCCCGGGCCTCGTCCAGTATATTGTGATGCCTCTGCATCTCCGTGACCGCGCTTTTCTGTCCCTCTACGGTGACGCAGCAGTGCCCCACAATCTCCATGATGACCCTGAGCTGGCCGCTAATGGACGCTAGATCCGCCTTATTGAGGCGGGATGCTTCGCAGGGACCCTTCGCAGGGACCCCCTCGGCCTAAACGGGTCCATCGGTCGGGGAGGGGGGTGACCCCCCTCCTCCGAGGAGCTGCTCATATCTAGTGCTACACTACAATTATAAAACTATGATACACTAGAAAAAAAAAGAAAGATAAAAATTCTATGTACGGCGGTTATGTGCCCACCGAAGGGATAGACCTGTGGTCACTACTATTGTAGTGAACCAAATGAAATTCACGAACCTAAGGTTCGTGAGTACAGGTCGTCGAGGAAACAGAACCGCAAATGTACTTTTAAGGCACTCACCCCTACCGCTCCAGGTAGTATGTGTGGGCGCACACGCAACACGCGCGCCCTCTGCCGGTGAAACGCACACACTTGTTGGTCAATGTCACCAACGAAATTACAGCGCCATCTATGGGCAAAACACGAACACAGATATAAAAACTAGTGGGATGTGTCACTAACACTGCGCCCTCTGTAGGCGAACACGCGCACTACTGGTAAAAGAACTAGTTAAACGTCACTGTCGCACTTATCGCGGTTGTGTCACTGTCACTAGTGTCACTGTCACTCACTCCGAGTCACTGTCTCACTCACGAAATCAATATGGCCGTCGCCTCTTATGGGCGATGTCCCAAGAAGAAGCGAGAGGGGCCGATTACACACCACAAATGTCAGAACACCGAGTCTATGTCTCACTCTACGCAGTACAAAAATCAAAATGGCCTCTGCCTCTTATGGGCACTACCCCAAGCGAGAGCAGGAGGGACCGATTTTCGGAAACCACGAAATATAAATTAACTGAATTAAATAACTTAAAAATTCAGAGCGCACTTACAAACGACCGCCTCTGACGAGAGCGAACGACGAAGTAAAAATATTAGTGTTGACTATTAAAGGCTGTTAAGCAGCAGTGCAGCAGCAGCAGCAGTGGACTATTAAAGGCTGTTGATGATGATTGATGAATAGGTGCCTAAGTAAATAATAATTATCGCGGGGCGTGGCTTGAACGGTAGCGAGTGCGGAGCGCGCGGGGGCAGGTTTTAAGAATTTTTATATTATATTGCTTGCTGCTACGGAACCCTTCATGGGCGAATCCGACTCGCACTTTTTTTTAATTACCAAGTTAAACATTTTCTATATTTAGTGTAATTGTACCAGTCGTTACGCTAACTATAGTAAATTAAAATTGTTGTATTAAATATACGAATCCCCGATTTTGTCGGCATTGAAAAAGTACTTTGACTAGAATGTTTTTCCTCAAACATTCATTATTTATTACCAAAGGCAATAAATAATGGTAGGTTCATAGGTACAATATTTTTTTGTCACTTATGTTAGGAAATGATTTTAAACCCCTATTTCCACCTCTTATAAATAGTTTAATAAAAAAATTAGTATGGTATTATCAAAATTGGTATAGTAGTTTAGCCGTGAAAATAAAACAGACAGACCTAATGCGCGTACTATAAGAATTCGAACCTATTTCTAGTTTAAGCTTACTTTACTAAATCAATATCCATATCTAAAACCTTAATAAACTTTAATTTTAATTAAGCAGTAATAATGATAATATCATCATCATCATCATCATCAACAGCCTTTAACAGTCCACTGCTGGACATAGGCCTCTCCTTAGAAAGGAGGTTTTGGCCTACTGTACCACGCTGGCCAGACGGGTTGGTATAGGGTTTGTGTCAAGTTTTCCTTCTCTTTACAGTTTTGTTGTCCTGCATAGTTTGCTCCCTTAGTCGGCTCTTACGACACCCACGGGATGATGGGTGGTGACAATCCGTATTCTTAATCCGTCACCACACGGACAACAATGATAATATAATAGTTTATATTATGACCAAATTATAATAGAAAAATATTTATGGATATGAAATTATATTATATGTGAAAGCTATCGACAGCCCATCGATATAAACATATCAGGTTTAAGTAACAATAATATTTTAATTGTAAACTAATTCATCCAAGGGATTACGTGCTATAGAGTAATGTCTGGATATAAACAGAAAAGCTAAGTAAGCAGTATTATGTCATACGACAAATGACCGAAAAAAATAATTAAAAAAAATAATTTACATTCTAATTAGAAGATAATAACGGTAAATTGAAGAAACAATGTTTGTCGGACAAAATGGCCGCCACCGTCTTAGCGTCCGACTCGAGCAACGTGTCGAATTTTCGTGGGTATGTTTTTTTATTAGCTACAAGCTAATACTTGGTGAATCGTCTGGTTCGTATATTTTCAGTTTTAGGATACATACATACATACATACCAAGGGTCTGATTATTGAAGGGACAGATAATAATCCCTGGCTCTCTTCCTGAACACGCTAAGAGAAGGGCTATTGCGTATTGCACGCGGTAAGGCATTCCATAGCCGAACAGCGGCAACGCTAAAAGAGTTGTCATAGCGACTCGAAGTGTGGGAGGGAGTTAGAAGGAGAAGAGAAGAAGAAGAGCGACAAAGATTGTTCCTGGGAACAAAGTGCTCGAAGCACTCACGGAGATATGAAGGACAAGTGGGGTTGTATAAAGTTGAATAGAGTAAGGAAAGAATGTGGAATAGGTAACCAATTTGGCTGTTTCCGAAATTCCGAAACATCATCGAACTTTTTAAGACCAAATATGAAGCGGATACAGAGATTTTTTAATCGTTCTAGCTTACCCCAGAGTTCTTCGGAAGCGTCGAGAAAAGAAACATCAGAATAGTCAAGAAGGGGGAGAAAGGGATTGAGAGAGGAGGACTTTAGTCTGAAAAGGAAGAAAATTTTGAAGACGTTTGAGAAAGTGATATGTTCCAAAAACCCTTTTACTCACCTCTGTAATGTATGTGGTCCATGACATTTTGCAGTCCATAAAAACCCCGAGATTTTTTACTTGTGTCGAATATGGTATAAGTCTTCTTATAGGACACTGGAGGAAGTTAAGTGTGATCAAGGCTATTATACTTGTACCTGGCACCAATAATGATAGCTTGAGATTTAGCGGGATTGACAAGCAGCCCATTATTGATGGCAGTGACGGCTTCTGTGATTTCATCAACCTTGGAATGGCGGTATCGCTGCAAATCGTCTGCATAAAGATAATAACGAGAAGAAATAACTTTGGTGGTTTCATTAGGAGGAGATAGTACGCCACCCTGGGGCACGCCTGCAGTAAGGTCACACCAGTCTGAAGATGACTTATCCGTGCGAACCAGTTGCGTGCGACCCCGAAGATAAGAATTGAAAAAGGCGATTACAGAATCAGAAACATTCAGAGACGATAGGGTGCCCAAGAGGATGTCAAAATCAACAGAGTTAAAGGCGCTGCTGAAGTCCAATAGTACCAATACTGTCAGTTGTTTATTTTCCATAGCGTATCGTAAATCGTCTGTTATTTTAACTAAGGCGGCAGTACTATGGCCAGCACGAAAATTAGATTGGTAAGGACTCAACAGGCTATTAAAGGAAATAAAACTGTTCAGTTGACTCCGGACAATCCTCTTAAGCACTTTGGAAAGGATCTTGAGAATGGATATAGGTCGAAAATGAGATACTAAGGAAGGGTTAGCAGTTTTAGGTAAGGGGATGACATGGGCCTTCTTCCAGGATGATGGAAACACGTTTTCTTTGAGAGAGAAATTTATGATATGAGTGATAGCTGGAACGACGTCACTTACAATAGGCCGCAACATTTGTTGTTGAATGCCATCATCACCTATTGCTTTTGTGGAGATAGATAGGATATGTCTCTTAACGTCACAGCCTGTAACCGGTTCAAACGAAAATGAGGTACATTGAGGCAATGGAAGACCAGCTAGATAGCTAAGAGTAGATGCCTTGTCTAAAGTATCTACACAAGCCGGTGAAGTGGAAAAATGCCTATTCAGCACATTGAGATCAATAGTAGTTGAAGTGTGGTTAGTCACTTTACCAATACCAAGAGATCTAAGGAATCGCCATACCTGTGGTGAGTTGAAATTTTTAATGGAATCGTGAATGTGGCGTATTTTCGCATCCCGACACAGACGACCTTTATAGAACTTTATAGACTGACCAATTCTCATCCGAAGAGTTCTTTTTCTATCTTCTCATGGCTTTATCGCGCTTGAACATTAGATGTTTAATCTTTTCGAAAATCCAAGGAGCAGGAAGATTCTTAACTCTTACTTTTTTTAGTGGCGCATGTTTATCGAAAAGATCTAAGAGTATTTTATTTAATTTTTCAATATTAGTGTCAATATCGCCACAATTGTATATAGGAGACCAATCTATTTTTCCGACATCCCCTCTCAAACATGCTTCATCAATGTTTCTGAAACTGCGTAAAACAATGTATTTAAGGTTAGGTTTAGGAGAGATAGTTTTGTAGGAGAGAAAAATGAGGTCATGGTATGAGAAAGGAGCAGAAATTTGTTTATGAGCGGCAACTTTATTAACATCCGAAATGAGAATTAGGTCTAAGAGAGAGGGATTAGAATGAGGAGCGTGATGTGTTGCGTTTAACGGGAGAATATGCATGTTAAGTGAGGAGACCAGGGACCGGAGTTTTCGGCTGCGTACATCATTCTTGAGTAGACACGTGTTAAAATCCCCAAGAATAATAGTATCACTGTATAAGGGTGATAAATTTTCCAGCTTGGTTTCGAAAGACGAGAAATAGTCAATATGACAAGAAGCGCTAAAATAAACACCCACTAGCAATTTAGTGTGATGGAAATCTATTTGACTGATCAATGACTCTAAATGTGAGATCAGATCGTAAATAGATTGCAACCCCACCATAACCCTTGCCAGTTCTGTCAGTTTGGATTGAAAGAAGGTAGAATATCAGGATAGTGAGCGTGTATACTTTGGGCATTGATATGCACTATATTGAGAAAGTTGTGAAAAGAGCCAAGAATGTTAAAAAGTTGTTTGTCTAAATTAATAGACTCACCCTGACTATCACTAAGTGCACTGGCGTAGTCCCCATCCGAAGCACAAGAAGATGAACAAGATATAAAACTTTTATCAAAATAATCAGACATTATATAAAATAAATTAAAAAATAAAGTTACAATTATAAATGAGTAATATTAATAAGTTAGTAATAATAAATATATAAATTGCTTATAATTAACGAATTAATTAATTTCTTACTTTTATCCTCAATGCACCAAAGGTTTAAGAAAATTAATAATATTACAAGCAAAAATAAAACGCACTGACAATAGACAATATTTCTGTTTTCTGATTGGTCAGTCAAAAAAGTCACAATCTTTCAGGTGTCAGATTTGTATACATATTATACATAAAATAAAATGTCTGCTTATCTGACTAAAAAAAACTAAGTTAGTTGGAGAAATTAGAAAGAGACAGAAGTTTAAAAATACAACTGACCTTAACCAGTGATTAAAGAGAAATAGTAAATATATATGAAACATGAATGGATCGAAACTATATTTACATCATAGGACCTTTAGCTTGTTTGCGAGAACGCTTTTCACCAACGGAATCACCTGTTTTGTGCTTAGTAGCTTCATCAGGTGGTGATTGTGATGCTGGGTATTCCAAACGGAGTTTGCGCAGCTCGGAAATAGATTCAAACCTGCGTCGCAGATTGTTAGGGATTTGGACAACAATTCTACCATCAGAGGTCCAGCAGTTCCTTATGCCAAAATGTTTGCGAGCCTCCATAAACACGTCATGACGAGGCTTCGTTACCCAAAAAAGACACAGGTATGTGCGTTCACCGCAAAAAAGATACCATTTTTCGCATCACCTCAGTTTGAGAGCACCTCCCTAACTGCCTCAGCCAGCATCGGAATCCTAGGCATCGACATATCGAGCGAAGTCCGGTTCCGGGGTCACTTAGAGGGTAAGGTCAAATTGACCTCGCAGAAGCTCGGTGTCCTGAACAGATCGAGGCAGTATTTCACTCCGGCCCACCGCCTTCAGCTCTATAAGGCGCAAGTCCGACCGCATATGAAATACATACTGTTCTCATCTCTATGCGCTTTTCCCTATGGACCGCATCCAACGGAGAGCAACTCGAATCGTCGATAGCCCAAACATCTCCGATCGGCTCGATCCCTTGGCGTTACGTAGAGATGTGTTGCTTCATTCTCTCTCGCATTTATCATGGAGAGTGCTCCGAGGAATTTTTCTGACTAATACCAGCCGCAAATTTCCGCCATCGTTCCATGCGGCAAAATTTTCATCCTCATTACCCGGATAGTTGGCGCTCCACTACTGTGCACTTTTCGATACACTTTTTGCCCTGCATAACCAATCTGTGGAACGGGTTATCGTCTGCGTTTGTGTCAGGGAGCCAAACTCATCTTAGGTGTCGTTTATTGTCCTCCAGCCACTGATTACTTCACCGAATTCGAATCGGTTTTAGAATCTTTAGGGTCTGAGTATGAGCATCACATTATCATCATCATCACAACCAATATGGAGAAGACACCCTGGTGGATCTCATTATTACTTCGTCTCCTGATAAGGTTTCATCGCATGGACAATACCCAGCACCTGGTTTCTCACATCATGACCTGATCTTTGTTTCATACAAAATTAAAACGCCAAAACCTAAACCCAAAATGATGCTTAGACGTTGTTTTGAATCTATGAATCTTGAGAGACTTCGGGAGGATGCTTCTCATATCCACTGGGAATCGTTAGCGGCAGTAACGTCTGTCGACGAAAAGGTTCAAATATTGAACGAAAACATCCTGCACCTATACAACGTTCACGCGCCATTGAGGCATGTCAAATTAAGGCATCCTCCCGCACCTTGGTTGACAGATAACATCCGCAGTGTAATGCGGTGCAGGGATCGGGCTTTTCGGCGATTTAAAAGAACTCGCAGTGATGACAACAGGCTTGCCGACAAAACTGTGAGAAACAGATGTAATCAGGTGATACGTAACGCCAAACGCCGTCATATTCTCGATAGCATTTCTTTATCCTCTTCTGCTAATATCTGGAAGTTCTTAAGGACTCTTGGTATTGGCAGTGAGCGCCATGCAGATTTTCCAACGAATATTGCTTTAGATGATATCAATTGCCATTTCACCACTCCCTCTATATTGGATCATCAAAGCAAAGTTCAAACCATCGATTTCGTAGCCCGTCTGCCTAGGCCTAATATAAACACCTTTTATTTTTCTCCGGTTACATCAGAGGAGGTCAAACGATTTGTTACCTCCATCCAATCCACAGCTACTGGTTACGATTAAATTAGCGTCATGTCATGGTAACCACTATCCTAGAACAGCTTTTACCCGCTATCACTCATATTATCAACTATTCCTTAGATTCCAATGTTTTCCCCTCCTTATGGCACAAGGCTTATGTACGTCCATTGGCTAAAGTACCTAACCCCTCCCTTCCTACTCATTTTCGTCCAATATCCATCCTCCCTTTCCTCTCCAAAGTACTTGAAGCCTGTGTACATAAGTAGGTTAAAATTTGGATTCGGATCAATTCGGATAGGGATTGAGGTTTCTGCATCACTTTGCACACGTTTGAGATTCGTGATGCAGAACCCCCAATTCGGATAAGGATTGGGGCTTCTGCATCACTTTGCACTCGCTCGAGCTTCGTGATGCTGCAGCCCCAATTCGGATAGAGCGCCTCAATTCTACCCTACTAAACCATCATAAGGTCATTTGTTTTATTTTGAAATAAAATAATTGAAAACATGGGATGAAGCAGGAAACTATATTTACTGAGTAAAATAAGTAAAAATTGTCTGGTATTGGTTTTAAACATTCAATTTCTAGCCGAACGTCTACTGGACCTGTTTTTAGACTATCGTTTTGCCTTGAACAATCTAAGATAAACAGCGAAGCCTTCTCTTTGAAATCCTTTAGATTGAGCAAAGGGTCGACTGTACCGTTGTAATACGACTGACGAAATTTGGCATACATTTCGTATAATATACGAGTACTATATTTGTTCTCAGAAAATTTTAAGCTTAGAGGCTCATAGGGATAATATTGTGAATTCAAAAAGAGGATCACGTTTGTTACTTCACAATGATCAAATAGTGAACTATCTTTCAATTTATTATTTTTTCTATTAGTTTGTAAACAGAAAATTACATATCTTGGCTTTTCAAGTTGTGATGTAGTTTTGACTACCCATGAATGCTTTGTGGTTTTAGGTAGTAAAGGATACTCATACAAATCCCAGTTTCTTAATGCCATTTGAATAGGTTTATCTTTTTCTAAATATTTTAAAAGAGTCAGTCGTTCTCGATCTAACACTTTTATATGTGGTACTCTCCATTGCACCCTTTCTATATCTATTTTGAAATGTGCTACATCATCTGTAAGTATAACGCTGTTCAAGTTAGAATTACTTCTATTTAATATAAGTTCATGTTTACAATTTATCACAATTTTATTGTAATCCTCCGCAAATCCTAAAATCTTATTCATAGGTATTACGGCACTAAAATGACCGTCATTTTTAAATCCATCTAAGTTCCAACTCCATAAGGCAGCAACTTTATTTTCTGCTTCATTTAATGAGATATATGACTTTATCGTAGACGTTATTCCTGAATTTTTTATGCGATCTATTTCAATACCATTCATTACGTAACTGATGTCTTGAAACAAGAACAAAACCGGGTTATTACTAAATGTAACAGCTTTCTCAATGGGTTTCCCATCTTTACCGAAAAGTTTTGCTTGACCTTCGATGTAAATTGAACTAGCTGATGGTAGCACGTATATATCTTGCTGGTGTATGGGAATTCTGATTTCATCGTTTTCTCTGAAGCAGTTGTTGTAGGGATTGTAAGAATGGACTTCATAACTTTCAATTGAAGTATCGAAGTGTGGTAAATCATTTACCTGTAGGATATTCATTATTAATACTTTAAATTCTAGGGCTTTAAGAAAATCTTACTTTGGTTTGGTTAACTTTTTCACTTCTTTCTTATGTCTATACGCTTTAACGGTTGTAGAAGAAATAAGTCATTTAATTTTGACCGGAGGATTTATATTATATAATATCATTTTATTTTTCTTAAATGAAGACGCAACTGAATGTGTTCTATGTAATTGATGCAGTAACCAAACTGATCAACAACTTCAATAGATATAGACGAAATTATATTTTTGTTCACTGGAAAGTAAATTACGTTTTGAGGTATTTCTAAGTACTGATGCCCCGCAGCATTATCAAATACAAATTCGTGAATAACATGAGTTGGTATTCCGTTAGTGTAGGAGTTGGTATTCCGTATGTTAAATCACATTCAATTCTGATAAGATGTCGAGTTGTATTACGAGAACTAAATTGTCCAAGTGGTGTTGTGTTTGTTATTGAGAAATATAACAAACCACACTCATATTTTCCTAATAAATTCATAGGTGGTTGAAAATATGATTCTAACTCTGATTTATTGCCCGAGATAATTACTGTTATAGACATACTTGCATACTGAACTCTTTTAGAAACTCCCGTTTATTTTATTTCGCTACTACTCCAAAAAAAAATCTCAAAAATTTTAAACAAAGATGACCGCAATTAAAAGGGTGATCGTCTTGTACATTTTCGTAATTATAATGGATTTTAGAGCCTAGATATTTTATAAATTCTTTCGGTGGCTTTAAATTTCCGTAACTGTCAAAATATTCAATATAATCATTGTATTTTGCATGGGCTACCCAATGAGAACCAGGATTTTTAGATGTATCTAGATTAATAACTCCGCATTCTTTTTTAAAAGAGTATTTAGGGAGCTCATCTCTCATTAAGACACCTCTAAAATTAGAAATACTATTTCCATACTTCAAAATGTCGATGTTAGTTAAGGCTCGTTTGGGTAGCCGATATTTTAGTTTTTTCTTTAGATATGAAAATACCAAGTCCATCTTTATGCGGTTTAAGATGTAATCCTTTTCCAATGCAAAGAGCCTCCATTTTTTCATTGTGTCTCTTTTAGTCATCATACAGGTTTTTAGCCATTTTGAATTCATTTATGGTTTTAGCAATACCAGCCGCACCGCCTGCTAAGGCTCCCGCCGCTGATAGTCCCACAAAAATCGGGATCAAGGGTAATACTCCACCAGTTTCACGTATGGGAATAACACGAGGAAGTTTAATAGATGAATCATCAGCTAGTTCTCTGACAGCAGCCATAGCTAATTCTATTGCTACTTTTAAGTCCTTTTCTCGATGCAATTTTTCTCGAAGTCTTCTGCTTATGACTTTTTAGGCCAGCACCGATTTTAATTTTTCCTAACATAACATTGCTTACTAGATGGGCTGCAATTTTCTCTCCTGTACTTGGATCAGGCGCAACTACACGTTTTTTCGCCATTCTAAACAAAATTAATTCAGCCTTATGTCGATACTTTAAGTTTGACGACTTGTGATATGCAATGTCGTGCTCTTTACAATATTCGTCTAATTTATTTATACCTTTATCTCCGCGCACAAGTCTCTTATTTAATTTTGTACCTGGGCCACAGTAATTGTATCCCGGTAAATGTAATTCTAATGGTAAAGCCAATTGAAAAGACTGCTCTCTACAAAACACATCATAAGACTGTTTTTATAATGAATTAAACACTTTATAAATATATACTCATTTTATATATTACTTTGATATATCATTAACTTTATAAGCATATGGATGTAAGTTTATTAATTTCTCATAACACGTTCAATTTATCGATCCAGCTATTTTCAGCAGAAGACAAACCTAGCCATTTTACTAAAACCTTATTGCCTTTCCTTTTAAGAACTTTTTCGACTAGGTATACATTGGGATATTTTGTCTTTTGAAGTTCTTGCACATAAAATGCGCCCAAAATAGGTTGACCTCTGAGTGTATCTTCAATTAAATACGTGACAGGAGTTGTATTTTGTATTTGTTGAATTTTAAATATTTCTGTCGACCAGTTAGGAGTATATCCTTTTTCAAATGTTCCTTTGTACTTACTAATACGCACGTAATCACCCACTTTGAACTTGCTTTTCATACTATCTTTTTTTACCGATCGTTTAAATGTTTCTAATAAACGCTTTTTATTTGCATTATCCACATTTGCGGGAATTTCATCCATCGTCCGATGGTAGGTATGATTATATTTATTAGTAATAGCATTAAGGGTGTTATTTATCCAGTTATAATTACCTCGCAAGCTTAATTATTTATACAATTTTGATTTCAAAGTTCTGATAAATCTCTCAACTATTGAAGCCTTTTTTGACGAGAATGTAGAATAATGATTAATATTGTAACACTATATAAGCTTTTTAAATTTATTATTATAAAACTCTGTCCCATTATCAGTTTGCAGATTTTTAGGAACACGACCTCTCTCCAACAAAATCTTAAAAGTGTTACTTACGATCTCTTTATGTTTACTTTTTAAAGGAAAGGTCCAATCATATTTAGAAAATGTATCAATAAGGGCAAGAATAAATTTAAAGCTTTTATTTTCTTTGGTAACAGATTGCATATCAATTAAGTCTGCTTGCCATAGATCATCTATATCTTTCATTATAACATTTCTTCGTGGAAAATGTACCCTAGCATTTTTATGAATCTCATTTACCACATCTGCTTTGCTCATGATTTTTTTAAAATTACTTATTATTTCTATCTCTGGCTCAAGTATAATTACCAACTGATCTTTGTGACTAATTTTGTAAATGTTTGCGATGGTTAAGTATGTTATACTGAATTAAATATCTATTGCTGGTAGTATTTATTTCTTAATTATGCTAGCTTCTTTTAATTTGTAGTGTGTTAGGTAGGAGTAAAAATGTTCACATACCACAAGTACAAGAAAAGGTCCAGTACAGGTCACAAATCGTTTTTATTTCACGAGTCACACAGTTAAGTAAAACAAGCACAAAGAACAGAAGGGTAAAGTCAAGCAATGTAATAAGAAGATGGAAGAAACACGATAAACAGTTCAAAGCTCGGAAACAAAGTATAAGAAAATATTATAACAATTAATGCAGTGCGCGGTAGATGCCACAGAGCGACAAGATAGCGAGCGACACAGGGTAGCATAGCGGGAGCGTTAAGCTGACTGCCGCGGGATACAAGGGCCGGTGCGCCCGCGCGCCGCCGTTGTGGTAGGAGGCATAAGCCCAGTTTGGCCAGCCGCGAGGGGGCGGCGTCCGCGTGTGCCGGACGTCGCTTAAAAAGAGAGGTCCTGGAGACGGCGCTGGGAGGGGTCCAGAAGGCGATAACTACCTGGACCCCTCCTAAACTAGAAGCGCAAAGAGGGCACACCGTGTGGTTTTAGTCCGTTCGAGTCCGACACACCGCCCCGCCGAACGAGAGCCCCGGCGGGGTGACGGTCCGAGGGGATTTCCACACTTAAAAAAAAAAAACAAAAGGAGGCATAAGCCCCGCCTATTGTACGCGTGTTAGTACGTTTGTGTATGCTTAATATATTAAATATAAATATTATGTGTATAGGTAATAAATGTGGATGTATGTACGTATATATGTGGTGTGAGCCCCACATCACTCCCCCTAGAGACCGTCACTACGGTTGAAAGTAATCCGGGAATCGAACCTTGCGACCAGAACGGATAGTTCTGGGTAATGTATCGGCAGGAATAACCTGACGGGGGTTAGGATGAGCGATAGGGGTAGGGATAGGGATGGGGTTAGAAATAGAAGTAGGAGTGGTTTCAGTCAAGGGGTCAGGGCAGGGGTCCTTAAGCATACCGCGGTCGCAACCTTCTGCGAGGAGGTAATCTCGCAGAAGGAGGCGGCAGAGAAGGCCCGGGAGGACGACCTCCACTCGGACCCGATCCGCCGCCGGCGAACCGGGCAGCGGAGGCGCGCTCACCTGCGCCTTATGCCGCCCTGAATGTGGTCGCGGGTGGACGGGATGGGTTTTCCCCTCCACCCGTATTAGTTTGGCCAGCCGCGAGGGGGCGGCGTCCGCGTGTGCCGGACGTCGCCTAAAGAGAGGATAACTGGAGACGGAGCCCGCAACAGGCGCGGGCCGGCGCTGGGAGGGGTCCAGAAGGAGATAACTACCTGGACCCCCCCCAAAATAGAAGCGCAAAGAGGGCACACCGTGTGGTTTTAGTCGGTTCAAGTCCAACACACCGCCCCGTCAAATAAAGAACCCCGGCGGGGTGACGGTCCGAGGGGATTTCCACACGTAAGAAAAAAAGAAAAAAAAAAAAGGGGTCCTTAAGCATGTAAGCCGGCTTAAGTCGGTCTATTGAAACCGTGACGCTCTTGCCTTTGACCAGTATCTTGAAAGTCTTGTCCCCCCTGTCAAGCACTTGATAAGGACCGGTATACTGAGGCTGTAAGGAACCTCTTACGGAGTCATCCCTAAGAAAAATGTGACTCGACGATGCCAAATCTTTGTAAATAAAAATTTTATTTTTACAGCTGCGAGCTTCTGGTGATGGACGGATTTTAGCGGTTAGGTGTCTTAGACGAGTGGTAAAGTCTGACAGAACAGTTGTACAAGGAGTAGGCGTCAAGAAGAACTCTCCAGGCAGGCGTAACGGTTCTCCATACACGAGTTCTGCTGAAGAAGAGTTCAGATCCTCTTTGAATGCTGCTCTTATACCACAAGGCAAGGTATCCACCCAATTGTGGTCAGCGTGGCACATTATGGCTGCCTTAAGTTGCCTGTGAAGCCCGTTGCAAGCTGGCCTGTACGCGGTTATGCGGCGATGTTTAAATCCGATCACTTTTCCAAGGAACTGAAAAAGTGTGGATTCGAACTGAAGACCGCGGTCAGTTACTACGAGTATATCGGTAGGACATCCAAACCTGGATATCCACGATATTAAAGCTTTCCCGACTGTTTCAGCTGTTATATCGGTCAGTGGGGTGACTTCCGGCCAACGGGTAAAACGGTCCACGACGGTGAGGCAGTACCTTTGAGATATTGGTAAGGGGCCGACGATGTCCACGTGAATAAAGCGAAGCGAGCACGGGGTAAATCGAACGTCCCTAATGGTGCTGACATGCGGCGGTTTACCTTGACGCGTTGGCACTCCAGACATTTTCGCGACCACTCCCGGCAGTCCTTACGTATTCCGGGCCAAACAAAGCGCTCAGCTATCAGCTTAGTGGTAGCTTTAGCGCCTGGATGGCTTAAACTGTGGAGGCTGTCGAAAAGTTGTTTCCTAAATGATTTGGTCACAAAAGGTCTTGGCGTGTGAGTGCTTGTATCGCAGTATAATTTTAAATTGTTGCCTGGGATCGTGATTTTTTGTAGACGTAAAGAGAATTCTTTACCTAAAAATTTTAACAACTCCTCGTCCGAAGCCTGTGATAGTGTTAGTTGTTCCAAGTCGATTGGTGTTTGCAGTTCATCGACCCGCGAGAATGTATCGGCGACCACGTTGTCTTTGCCCGAAATGTGTCGGATGTCTGTCGTGAACTGTGAAATATAGTCCAAATGACGGAACTGGCGAGGTGAGCAGTTGGCTTTACGTTCACAGAAAGCGAAAGTAAGTGGTTTGTGGTGCGTGAACACGATGAAGTGCCGGGCCTCTAGCATGTGCCGAAAGTACTTTATGCTCTCATATATGGCCAGAAGTTCGCGGTCATAGGGAGAGTATTTTTGTTGGGAAGGGCTAAATTTCCGCGAAAAGAACGCGAGTGGTTGCCATTCGCCAGCCTTCAGCTGTTGAAGAACTGCGCCCATTGCCAGGTCCGATGCGTCTGTTACCAGTGCGAGTTTCGCGTGACAGTCTGGGTGAGCCAGTAATGCGGCGTTCGTGAGACTCATTTTGCACTGGGTACCCTAAAAAGGTTACTTCCGAAACTCCGAAGACGCATTTAGAGGTGTTAATGAGGACACCGTAATCTTTCATACGCTGGAAAAGCTGCTGCAAGTGATCTTCATGAGCTCTTGGTGATTCCGAAAATACGCAATAATCATCCAAGTAACAATATACGAAATCCAGGCCTCTCGACATTTCGTCGACAAACCTTTGAAAGGTTTGACCAGCATTCCTAAGACCAAAAGTCATGTAAGGGAACTCGTACAAACCGAAAGGAGTGGTGATTCCGGTCTTCGGGATATCAGGCTGACTGACCTTGATCTGATTGTAAGCCTTGACCAGGTCTATTGTGCTGAAGACTTTGCAACCAGCCATACTATGGGCAAAGTCTTGAATGTGCCTGATAGGGTAACGATCCGGTACAGTACGTGCATTCAACATCCTATAATCCCCACAAGGTCTCCAGCCGTTGTCCCGGTTCGGGACCAGGTGCAGTGGCGAAGCCCAAGAACTCTCGGAAGGACGAGCTGTTCCGTTAGCCAGCATGACTAGACATGAGGTAACTGGCAGTTCTTGGAATCTTAAGGT